GAGGTCTTTTGATCCTTGCCTCTGAACAGATTGAGGAGCTAGACTGAGAGAGATTTGCATTTGGGTCCACCCTCCAGGGAGAAGTGATGTGAAGATGGTTCAGCACACATCCACTTTTTCTACTTTTCACCCTTGATTGGAAGACGCTGCTACCCCAACCCCCAAACAATCCCCCCTCCCATTTGAAATCACAGAGGGTGTCTAGACTTTGTGACATTCAGCCTGTTTTGTTGTCCAATTCTTTGATTACCCTCGGTATCATTGGGAGTTAATTATACCAAATTGTTTCGCTTCCCGTAAGTCTTAACTGCTAATAAGAATCAAAGATGCAACTGACTTTTCAGAATAGATTAGGATCATTTTATGGGATGGCTTTCATTCTATAATTCCTAATTACTGCCCGTTTGTGGTTGAGTACCACTGTTGCTTTTCTATATTTTTTACCAGTAATTCCAAAGAGGAGTGTCTGAAGAAGGTAGAAGGTGCATCGCATGGTGTTGTGCGCAGAGATGGCGCAGCTCGATTGCCCTTACTGGAATAGTGTAGACTCAGCCCGAGTAAAAACCAAAAGCTGGGATTGACATCACAGATTAATGAAGATTACATGCAGCGATTACTGGCCACGGGATGAATCGTGATGACCTCATGTCCCATCAGAAGGCAATAAATCAGGAGATGTTACAGGGAGGTGAACATTCAGGTCGCCTATCCATGACATGGGTGCAGAAATAACTCAACCTTGGTGTGTTTTTATTGTGAGAAAACATCAGTGATTCTTATAGTTGCCTAAAGAACAGAACCTAGAAATAATCAACATTTGAGGTCCCCACTTTCCCTAAGAGGCAGAAATGAGTCAATCAAACCACAAATCTACAAAGCAGCCTTCCATTGATACCAATTGTTGGCAGACTGGGATCTCCCATGGGATTACACACCAGGCCTGGGTCTCACATTCTTAGTATTCTTCGAATGCAAACATGCACATCGCCCCACATGCAGAGGGCTGACCCCTCTTTAGAAAAAGGAGCGTGCAGATCCCATGCTTAGTGACCCCAACCTGCCCCGGCTTCCACTTCCCACTGCTACCTCTCCCTGTTCCCTGTCCCTTTTTAAAATGTATTTCAATGGCCACCTTCCACTTACAAATTCACCGCTAATCTGGCGTGGGAACCTACACCTGTGGCTCTCCCAAGACAAGCCTTGAATACCTGAATTTAATCCATCACTGACGTTTGGTCCATTTTGTGCTTCGTGATGCAAAGAGCGCACTTGAGGGTTACATCATTTGACACAAATTCACTGAGAACAAGACAATTAAACATCTTTTTTTTTTTAACCATGCCCCCCTTCTTGACTTGAAAACTAGGATTTCTGTGAGTAAATCCTCTTATCCATTAGGGGATGGGCCTGGTTGGGTTTTGGAGATTTGACTGGAGATTTTGATTCTTCGTGGTCTGGGATAAAGTCGTTCACTCTGTCAAATGTAGCTGATGCATGTTTTTTGAGTATATGAAAAAGAGCTGGTAATGAAATCAAGGTATACCTCTGATATTTTGTAATTGGTAATAACATTAAGACTCAAGAGGTCCACTGGAAGCTTTTTTGACTTTGCCCCTGCGACTGACTGCCCAGGCTCAGCAGCACACATGCTGACACTAATTGTCCTCGTGCTGACTGTGTCTCTTCGTGGACAATGGTTTTGATTGGGATGGGGGTGAGTTATGATGTTGGGACAAGGGCCTTTGTTCAGTAGCCTTTCCCCCTTCCCTCCCCCACACCTCCCCTTTATCCCCCTGCCCATCCATCTATCTTGTTCCAACCATTTGGGCAGCTGTCACTTAATCCAGCTAATCACAGAGTGGGATGGTCTGTGGGAAACCAGACTAGTCCGTGGCTTTGCTCAACCCAACATGCACCCACTCTGGGAACTACTTACCCAAACAATTACAACACGTAGGCATGCAAGGGAGCAGGGTTTTAGGTGCTGGAGGTCACAATATGGCCACCTGTTCTTCCCTTGATCTTTTGATTCTGCTTTGTGACGAGGTTTGTCTGCACAACTTTCACAGTCGTCCCATACAGGCATCATCCGAAGATCTCCTGCCACTAATTCATTCATTGCCACTCAAAGTCCCTCTTGTATGCATTGGCATATGCACACACCCACCCACATGCTCAGACTGGGGCAGCTCGCCCACCCTATTGTGGTGGTGGGGGGAGGGGGATTGGGTGGAAAGGTCAGAAGCCGAGCTACATGTCGTGGGATGATCCACGTTCATGTCAAATAATCCATCTTTGAGGCTGCATCTGTTGTGCGTCTGCGGTCGGACGGGTTGGCAGAGCTTCCAGAAACTGCGGCACGAGTGTCGCCAAACCCCCAGACTCACTTCTTTCTTCCATAGCCCTTTCGTCCACACCCACCTCCCCAAACCAAAGCCTAGTTGTGGCCTCTTGTGTCTCTCCAGTAGCCACAGTCTCATGCAGTTGTACCCCCCTCCGTTGTCCAAGGTCCGACCCAAGCCCTTTAGCTCACCCCTCTCCTGTCATCTTATATTCCCTTCTCTTGTCACCCATGGTCTTCCACAATAACACTCCCCTCCCCTTCCTCCCGCCACCACCCACAGCCAGACAAGCCTTCTTAATCCCACAGCCCAGCAGCAACCAGCCTACCAGCTTGTTGGTCCCCCAGATCAACAACACAGACTGACACACACATCCAATCCCCCTCCCTGGGATTTCTCTTCCCCGCTTGATTGAAGCATTGAAGTCTCTCAAATACTTGCCTTATGCTTTTTTTCTTACCCCCCCCCCCCCAGGCCAACGTCCTATCAATGACATTACAGTAGAGGTCACAGCAGTCACACTGTGGCTACTACAACTGTCACTGGTGGTGACGTAATGACTGTTATTTAGGTCAGCTGGTTGCCTAGCAGTGTGCCCTGCAGCACACCAGCTAGATTACTCTTCTGATGCTGGTTAGCTTGTTTGGTTTCCATCTGTGTGTGTTCATGTTTACTCAAACCAGTGTCGGCTCATGTTTTTTGCTACGTCATTGCAAAGAATTAGTCGGAACAATCCCTCGAAACAACCATAACATATCAGTTAAAGTGTTTACCTAAATTGACAACATGGAATATTTCAAATGAACAAATCTTTGACATATTTGTTATATTGCTAAATAAATCAAAAACCGTTGTATTTTGAGGCACTGTGATGCGTGCATTGGTAAATGGGGTCCCAGATAAAACTTGGGTGACACATTTATAATCTGTATGTTTGTTTACTCATCAAATAGTCCAATAAGTCAGACAATAATGAATAGTAGCTATCCTATTTTACAAGAGCTCAAGCTAACATCTTCAACAAACAATTAAACCCAAACAGATTCCATAAAACTATATAAAATCCCCCTAATTGACATTTCTGCTTCATTATGCAATGGATCAGCCTTCTTGTTCATACCATTTCTGATTATCCACTAATTGATTAATAAACTAATTCATTTCATTACAAAGTAAAAGGCTTTCATCATTGCCCCACTACTGTTTTACTGGTCAACTGTTATAGTGATAATCCCCTTAGCTGCTGATTTACTTCTCTGTCTGACAAGCAAGGACAAAGCCAGGCAGAGTTCATCTCAGACAGCGAATATTGGCAAAGTGACCTTCTTAATGTACATCAAACCTGCTGAGGCTTTATTTTTCCTAAAAACAGGGTGATCTGCCTTTTTTTTTTTTAAAACAGTCCTGGTGGAATTTTTATACTTCAGTTTTTGTTCCGATTAAATAATTCTAATTACAAAAAGCTATTGATGTGTGTATTTGTTTCACATGAAAAAAAGTATGTGTTAGGGTGTGGTATAACCTTTATGACTTACAATTAGATGTGAAATACATACACAAAACCAAATATTATCGTACAAAATTACTAATTATTAATATATTAGTGGTGTTTGAAATGTTGACATGAAAAAAGTGTAGAAGTTTAAAAACTAGCTGTTAATTGGCTTCATGCTAAGCTAAGCTATCCATACAGAGTTGCATTACTCTTCTCACGTAACTCTTTGCTACTACTACTTGTTTTTGCAGATTGTGTCTGCATTGATGTCCGTTGAACTCAATGACACATTATAGCATTTGTTCCCAGGGCTTTTGCAGCTCCACCACACACACTACATTCTGACCTAGAGGAAAGTTTGCAGGCAGTTTGCCGTTCTCTTATGTCCTCTCCACATCTCACTCTCGCAGCTTCTCTTGGCTTCTCCCCACAGTTGTACTTACCGTATGTTGCTCTCTTATCTTTGTATCATTGGGTTTCATTGACGGTGTAACTCAAGCGCACCTCGGAGTAACGGGGCCAAGTTTCATACGAGACTCTGTAGTAGCAGTGAAATCGATTATGCATCGTGTTTGTGTGTGCGTGTGAGCTGAAGCTTGTAGAAGAGTTGTGTGACTATCGCCAAAAAGGTCATCCACATTATTCTCTCTATATAAGAGGGACATTGTGATAAAAGGTCATGTTTACTTATTAGTCCATTTGGGAACAACATAACAAATGCTGTTCTAAATGTTCCCTTTTTACTGTGAAGAGTAGACGAGACATCGTGTCATAAGCAATGATTAATTTAGAGATTTCATGCCTAATTTGATGTCATGGGATTATTCTATTAAAACATATTATAATTAAATACTAAAATGATCATGTTTAAAATGTCAGACTTTAAGTGGGCTTTGACTAATTCTAGTGCTCATTGAAAGAAAAGGAGACTTCAATTAGAGAATATTTGATAATACAGCAGGTTTTATAATATTATTTGTACCATGCATTCGCTCTAGATGCAACTTGAGGCATTGCTACTCCAAAAGGACATCAGTCTGATCGCTCAGTACGTGCACAGAAATGAGCTCTTGCTCTATGTGTTGGGGATATGAAGTAAACAACTGATGCTTTTTTGTCAAGATGTTCACCTGACTCACTTCTTCTTCTTCCTTCCTCTCCAGCGGACGTACACGGTGATCGTAGCAGCCTGGGACTGGGACAACAGCACACGCAACAGTAAGTCTAAACTTCACACACCTCGAACTGCTGTTGCTTTCATTAAAGGTGGGGTAGGTAAGTTTGAGAAACCGGCTCGAGATACACTTTTTGTTATATTCCATGGAATGCTCTTAACATCCCGATAGCAATGAATATCTTAAGTGCTTTGACACTAAATATATAAAAAAATGTCATCTGTGGAAGCTGTAGTACTGTATAAAGCACGACCAATCATCTGAGCCGGCCCGGCTAAAATAACTGGATGGCCTACCTGCCTGTCAGCCTTCCATCGGGGCAAAAACTTATCTCGTGTCCTCATTGGTCATGTGCGCGTTCATGTGTGTTGGAGGAGGGGCTCTGTAAGGAAGTGGCAGATTTTTTCCAGTTGTGTATTTTCAAATTCTAGCGATCTCGAGCCGGTTTCTCCAAAATTACCTACCCCACCTTTAACTGTAATTAACAGAGAAATAAATGGATGTGGTTTTAAAGGATTTTAAGTAAGATTTCTAAAAGGACTTTTGCGGGCATGCCATCGTTTGAAATATGTTAAGCAGCATTGAGTATATGATGGTTGTTTTTTAAGATTTTAATCGATAATTTCAAGCACAATAATGCCCTCAAAACATCAATAATGGCTGCCGCTAGGATGAGAATATTTAATGCTTCCTTAGATCTGCATATGAAGGTATCTGAAAATGTTTGTTTCTGTGACTGCTGCTCAGACATAACACATTGAATATGTTAGCTAGTCTTTGGAGTATTATAAGAGACGTTTATTTCTTTATCCTCCGATGTTTCCATTGAAAAAGAAGTCAAATAATCTTTAGACGAATTGAAAATAATCTTAAATGTGAGCTACAACCCCGCATTCAAAAATGAGGTTAAACTCAAAATAATGAGCATATGACACTTCCTGTTCACTTCTTTAAATCACACAATGTGTATTCATGTTGTAAATGAAGTGTTTGCTTTAAGCCTGTAGGTAGCAGGTGAAAACATGTTGAACCGTATATACTGTAGCCCCTCAAGACGCTTCGTATAGACTTCACGTCTTGGTTCTCCTCGGCTGTGTTGGCTGTAGCGCTCCAGCTGTATCCTGTTTTCCTTCAGTTATGTCGGCTGGGTGGACTCCTGTGTAACCCCTTTTTCCCGTCTGAGCAGTAGCCCAGTCTGGGAGGAAGAGGACCCATTGAGGACTGAAATGTCTGTGTGTATGGATATAGCTTTGATCTGTGGACGCGGTGACATTTTTCACGGGTCTCAAGCGTTCTGTACATTGAAATATGTACATGAATGTATTTCTATTCCATACTGTCCTTTTCTAGTCTAAACATGCTGCTATTTTATTTATATGAGGTCATTACATCCTGTTTTGTCCACAACTTCAAACGCACTTCCACTCGCGGACGCAGACAATGGAGAAGAAATAGATTTGACATCATAGCGCTTTGATTAGACCGTTGCATTCCTTGTGTAGTCGCCGAGCCTCATGTAATTGTGTAGGTTTACAGTGATTAGCTCAGATGTTTGTGATGGATGTAAGGCCTTAATGTTGCTTAAGAAGCCGTCCAATTGATTTTCTGCCAGCCACTCGCACTTCAGTCTCAGCCAAATTGCTTTAAGGTAGCAAAATAAATGCCTGTTTGATTCAATTCAGTGGCATAAGATTAGAAAGGAAACGCGTTCCTTGCTTTTATATCAAAGTAAGAATTATGTAATTTTCTTTTTTAAGGCTCACCCAGGTTTGATTGTTTCTGTGTTGGATGCTGTTTAAAAGCCGCACTGAGGCTGCTGTCAGGTCACAGACATCAGCTGACTTTAACCTTAATGTCATGGGTTCAAGAAACACAAACGTCTGGAACAAATGCTCCTTTCAACCTCACTGAGAGATCACAAGGGGCGTCTGCTTGAAGTGGGAAACGTCTGCAGGGTCTCTGCAGGGTCGCAGCGAGTTGCAGGAGCGATTGTCCTGCAGGTCACACTCTGTTGTTTTTGATTTGTTTTCACAGTTTAATATGTAATGTCATGGCACATGCATCACTTCACAAACATTTCATTTGAGAAATCAGAGCTTGAGTTTCACAGTTTGTGATCAAAGACGAATTTGTTACAAAGACGTGTAGGAAAGCCACCTAATTGTCCCTTGGTATCAAAGCAATTACTTGGTTTAGGTCATTTTTTTTGCATTTGTTTAATACACACACTCAAGATATAACATGATAGACCTTATTTGTTATTTATTGGGTGTCTACTGTACCATATTTAACACTTTCAGGGAAGCTACAACCCATTTTTAGGGAGTCATAGTGCGTGATAGTAGAATAGGTTTTGTTTGAACTGCTACTTGTTGACAGAGTTGGCGTTTTGATCGCGTGAAAAGCTTGATGTTGTGACATTTTAAGACTCCCAGCAGTCACATTACGCATGGCCTTGTTTCTATTATGCAGTCAACAACACTAATTTGGTTTTTAGTTTACTTCCTATTAGCACTGAGAACTGGATCTCCACCTATTTCCTTTAGACAAACCCAGACAACACAGGAATCTGCAGGCTCACATCCAACCACATATTGATGAAACAATTGTTAAAAAAACAAAACAAGGTTGGAACCATTTACAAAGGCGGTTTCTACAATAGAACCACCAAATACTTTTATTTAAGATAAGCATCCATGTAAAGGCAGTTTAGTTCTCTGATCATCCTGAACTGCAGCTGGTAAACATGGAGTTGTATCGGGTAGTTTTGTGACCACTTGGCACATCTGTATCTATATGGCAATGTTTTTACTGTACATTTCAGACATGCAATCTTTCTCTGATCCCCCTTCTCGCAATCTTTCTCTGATCCCCCTTCTCGCCATCCCCTCCCAAGTAAAAAGTATGGGAATTGGTGAGAAACCCTCCAGTGATGCCCGCAAAAAGAGACATTTGCAACAAAGTGAAATGTTGAAATTCATGACGGTGTGTATCTGTGGGACACTGAAACGTGTTCTTTAGCCTGAGTCAGCACCGGCCTGATGTCTTGTCCTACGTAAGAGCCCATCAGTGAGATTCCTCTCCTCCGGCGTCACGTCCTCCAGTGCGCCTCTCCCCCCCCCCCCACCCCCACCCCTCCGTTACCCCTTGTGTTCTCAGGAAAGGCAGCCGGCTGTTTTCCTTGTGTTTATCGAGCAGGAAGTGGAGTGGACTGGGCGGCCGGGCTCAGTGTTTAGACACCGAGTGGACTGTGGGCCCGGAGCCCATTGTTCTCTATCTGACAACTGCCGGGGGTTATTTCTGTTATTGTTGCTTAATTCTGTCTGACATTGTGTCAGTCCCTCAGCAGAGGAAGGTGCATGTGTGTGTGTGTGTGTTCCTGCTTCAAAATGTCTATGGTGCATTGCAGTCCAAAGCCATAGTGAAACAAAAAAAAAAATGAAATCGCAGACCCCCTATTTCCACAGAGATTGTTTACCAGCTTCGATCCCACTGTGATAAAGATTGCTTTCTTTCTGCGAGCCGGAGCCCCTCGGAGGCAAACAATGTTTAATGGGAGCGTTGGCGCGCTGGAGGCTAAATGGTAGCAACCTCCCGACATGACGGTGCACATACAGACAGCTCAGAGGCACCGCTGTTGTGCGCCTTCACCAGAAAATGGATCAATTTGCAGACAATGAATTTCAATTGCGTACTTAAAATTCAGTGGGTACTTTCCACACAGGCACATAATGTGATATCAAAGCCTCCCTCTGCTGAATACCAATCCACTCTATTTGTGAGGGAGTGACTTTACATCAGAATAAGGGAGATTCCACATCATTGTCGGTTTTCTGTGTTTCAAATAACTATTTTTTTACTAAATGCAATGCCAGATGGGGGGGGGGCTTCTTAGGTCTGTTTGAGTGTTTGCTTTCGTCCTGTTGGGAAGACGGACTAAAACACAGTTATGAAGGCTTTTTGCGTTAAGCTCGATGTTGACTTGTAGTGAGATTTTCTACTGATTGTCTTATTTCCAAGATGCTAACGCATGCATATCTAATCTTCTGATGAATTTATTACATCATTGACAGCTTAAGCACTTTTTTCTGGCCCTTTTGTGAGCAACTCAACACTTGAATTATCATCAGCTTTTAAGTTGATATTGAATAGTGGTTTACTTACACATCCAGCCGCTACAGAATGAAATTAGCCATCAATTAGAGTCATGTTTTTGTCCACTTCACGACATCCAATATTTCTTCCCTTTTTTATAAGCTGCATTTGTTTTGGCCTCTTCCAAATCCTTAGGGGAACAATTTGGTCAAATAGTAAATCGACATACACTTATTTTTCGCTTTTTCAGTTTATACAACACTTCAAAGCGCTTTTCTATATACAAGTCGCCATTAAACCATTCACACACCTTTTGGCCATCGGGACCAATTTGGGGTTAAGGATCTTGCCAAAGGACCCATCGACATGTTGACTCGGGACTGAACCGCTGACCTTCTGATTGGTCTACCTCCTGAGCCACAGCAGTAAATCCCTAGTTGTCCTTTCTGTAACATTTATCCTGGTATTCTTTTCTTCAGTCTTCTTCGGTTGCAGGTGATTTGTAAGGAGAGTAGGGGGTGTTTTAAAAATGTTTATCTTCTTTGGTTTTGTGGTCAAATGAGAACACATATATTCCCAACTTTGACGTGACTGATTGGCCTTCATCATCACTTTGTTTCAGTTGATGATGAGCTGCTGATCGAGCGCAGCATCCACACCGGTATGATCAACCCCGGAGACCCCTGGCAGACCATCCTGCACGACGGACCCGTGGCTCGCATCGTCTACCGCATCCGAGTGCGCTGCGACGAAAACTACTACAGCAACAAGTGCAACAAGCTGTGTGTTCCTCGGGACGATTACTTTGGACACTACCGCTGCGAGCCGTCGGGAGCCCAGCTGTGCCTCGACGGCTGGATGGGCTCAGACTGCAGGACAGGTGAGAGGATTCAAGATTCGAGGCTTTTATTGTCATGTGTGCATAGCTACAGTGTAGTTATGACAATGAACATCTTAGGGTCACAGGCTCCTCCAACAGTGCAACACAATAAAACAGATAATGGTGCAAGAAAATATAATATAATAGAATATAATAGAAATAGTGCAGAATAGTCTATATACAAGTAATTGGAATATTGATATATATAAGTTGCAAACAGATGGATGTTCTTATGGATGCACTTATTTGACTACATTTCTTGCACAAAAATACAATTTAAAATGAACTTAATATATTTTCAAGTAAGTCATTTTGCGAGTACAATTTTCAAAACTCATGGTTGAAATGCAATATTTGAAATCGTTACACTAGCAGCACTAGTGTCTTGCTTGTGGGTGGTGCTAGAGAGAGTGGGGGGCCTCAATAAATCATCCAACTGACCTTAGTAGACGAAGGGTGAAAAGGAGGAGGGGCTGGGTTGTTTTTAAGAGGGGGAAGAGGCTATTAAGTTGTCCCTTCCTCGCTCAGGGTGCCACGAATTCTCACGTCTTGTTGCACTCGTTAGAGCGACGGCAAACAAACAAGCTTCTCCTCCGCCCACCTTTCCATGTCGTCGCCTCCATTCTTATCCCCCCCACCTCTCTCTGACCCTTCTTTCAAAGATGATAATAATAATAATAATGTGATTTACTGTGAAAATGTCTCCAATGGAGTTCAAACGGCACCTTTTTGAATTGTGTCTCTGTCGTCTTGTTTTTTTTCTCAGCAATCTGCAAGCAAGGCTGCGACCTGTTACATGGCAGCTGCTCCGTCCCAGGGGAATGCAAGTAAGATTAGCGGGATTCATACACAGAAATGTGACCTTTTCTTCTTCAGGATTTGTATTTCTTTCTGATGTTCACAATGCAGTTTGATTTCTTTGCTTTGTTCTTCTTAAAACCCCATGCTAAATGTGTGAAATACTGCAAGGAATTCTGGATTTTAGATGCCAATCGGAGGCGCCTGTGTTTCTTATGTGTCAGCCTTTCTCTTCCCTTGTGGGCATCTTCACCTCGGTTCAAAAGAAAAGGGCAAAGCCGCGCCTGCCTTCTTGTATTTTTAGCCACCTGAAATCCTCCGCAGAATACCAAGCATCTCATCAGCTCTCTGCTGCTCGGACAGAAGAAAGGGAACTCGTCGGTGTGTGAATTTGACCACTGGTAAACGTGCTGGGAATTGTCATATCCCCTCCCCATCCGCATTGCAGTCCTTTCTTGAAGGAAGGGAAGTGAATATCCCACTGTGTTATGTACATTTCTGAAAGTGGAAATGACAGTTAGATAAAGTGACGTAGACTGGCCCCATAGGTCCACGTTTCCAGGATGTGGTGCATCCCGTCGTCATTTGTAAACCCCCTCCTCCCACCTGCCAGATGGAAAGAGACACTTCTTCCTTTATTAGGAAACGGCTTTGGCTCGGAGCCGAGGAATGACAGGGGGATGACCAGTTTTAGGAAACCGCTTCGAATTTCTGTGTGTCTGCCTCGATGCTTAGTCCAGCTTACAGACAGACAACAGGGGGAAGCAGCTTATTCTTCCCAAATGTCAAGTCCCAGTCAACAGGAAAGTGACATGAATAGAAGAGCGGCAGTAAAGACTCGTCCTGCAGTGGCACGAATGTAATGAAGCCTCGGGTCACGCAGAAAGCTGGTATTCAATCCCTCGCTGTCTCCTTTGATTGCCTCTATTTAATCACAGTTGTTTGGGCTTTGCTTCGTTTGCTGGTACGTGCCTGTTGTCACGCCGCTGCATTGAGGCTTTGAATTAGCACACATTAGGCTTGTTCTGACATATCCGTCAGAGGCTTGCCTTTTCACAAAAATCACTTGGCTATGCAATGGAACACAATTTTTCACCACTTTGCAAACTTTGACTTGTCAAAATGTCAACATCACGCCTACGCCGCGAGGGCTCCATGACTAATGATGATATCAATGTGGCCAAAAATTAAACCACAGAATACCTCTTTTTTTTTTTTTTATACCTTCAAGCGTTAAGAGCTGTAATGGAGTCTCCTTGCCAGAGGTCTGTTAGTGTTATTGCCACATTGCTGTCAGACCCCCTGAAGCTAATCATATACAGTGGGAGAAGCATGCCAAGTATTCCCCATTGCCCGTACACAACACCCCCCCCACCCCAGCCTGAGATTTCCGAAAGGCCTCGTCTCTCAGAGAGACAGCGGTGCCGTCTGCAGGAGACTCAAAATAGCAGTCAATTGACGAGACAGCTGGCTCGACGACACAGAAGCCTTCGAATAGCCAAGCGCTGTCGTGAAGCTGATGGATCGTAGACACACACACACACACACACACACACACACACACTGTGGATAGTACACACAGTTGTCTCCAGCTTGCTCTCAGTACGGCCGTGCCACCCTCGTAGCTGCAGACTCTAACCCGAGCACAGGAGCTGCTGGAAGTATTCTTAACCCTCCTGCCCTGGAATGTCACCTTCCACTAAGATTAGTTGGCAGAAGGCCGTGGGATAGGTTGACACAAGAGCAGATACTGTACAATATTAGGTGTTTCCACCGTGGGCAGGTTGCACGCGACTGCTTCAAGCAGACACAAGTTCACTGTCTTTGACTCTTTTGTGCGTTTAGCTGCTCAGTGCTTTGAATACCTGAATCAGCCTCTTCCTACAGACTTTGTAATGATGTTGTTATAGTCATGCATAAACAACTTCAGTGATGGCTTTGGTTTAGAGCAGTGGTTCTCAACTGGTCAGGCCTCGGGACCCACTTTTTACTTGGTCAATACATCGCGACCCAACATTTTGAAGCACTCAAATCTATACAACAAAAAATCGTGCTGTAATATATATATACGCTTTTGAGCATACAATATTAATAAAAGTGAAGTACAGTGCATATATCCCTTATATCCCTTCACAGAACTAAAGTATGCTTTTAAAAAAGGTTTAATGAGATGATGGAATCAAAGCTGAACTATATAAAAAGGCACACATGCTGAAAACCCAACCCCAGCAGGGGGGTCTGGGGGGATTCTCCCCCAGGAGATTTTTAGAAATACTAACATAAACTACGTATTCTGGTACACTCTGAGAAGAAAATCGGGCCTTCAAAATAAAAGTTTGAGTTTTCCCCCCCCAAAAAAAAAAAAAAATTCCAATTTCTTTTTTTCCAACTTTTTTTTACTTCACTCACACATCCGCGACCACTCGAAACGGGTCCGCGACCCACTTTTGGGTCGCGACCCACCAGTTGAGAACCACTGGTTTAGAGGACACTTGGCTTTTTGGGGCAGCCTGTCACTGGTCTGAAAGACAGTGATAAATACCTTTTTTGACAAGTCAGGATGGTCTGCTTATCCTTAATGTTTAAGTGAGTAACAAATCATGTGTTTTCATCAGGTTTCATTGACTTTCTTTTGGATATATCCTCACAAGAAGTGGGAAATGTCCACAACATACAAAACAACTTGATTTTTGTTTCCCCCAAGTACAACATATACAAAGATATGAATATAAAATAATAATTTTTATATTTATTTGTCATCTTTTTGAAGTGCTATATCTTTACCTAAGATTGGTATCCGATGCATTTGAGTATATCCTACAGTTGAAAAGCTGTGATGTCTCATTTAAAGCTTGTTCAATAGGGACCTTTCAACACTTTGCGCAATATTATCACATTTATGATACCAACACTGTTTTGATCTATAACCAAGAAAAATAAACGTCTTTCAACAGCCAATGAAAGCAAAGGAAGGGATTCCTCAGAGAGCAGGTAATGGGATTAGATGAGTGGAGTGATTTATGCGTGTGTGTTTGACAGGTGTAACTACGGCTGGCAGGGGCAGTTCTGTGATGAATGTGAGCTGTACCCGGGGTGCGTTCATGGGACCTGCAACGTCCCGTGGCAGTGCAGCTGTGAGAGGAACTGGGGCGGCCTGCTGTGCGATAAAGGTATGGAAAAGTCCATGTTTTACTTTCTTTAATCGCCTCCCACACACAGCTCTCATCCTGCACGTCCCCTCCAGCTACAGCTGCCTGGGTGTGATGAGTAAGAAACGAGCGAGCTACTCGGAGCAGAGGTGCAACAGAAAATACTTTTGAAGGAGCCACATATGACCATGTAGAAAACTGTAAAAATAATGCTGCTCAGTCATTTGCAGCTGGAATTGAAATGTATTTTCTGGCTCTTTAAAGTGCAGTGAAGGCATATTTGTTAACACTTTCCAACATTTAACCTGAGCTTCCCGTCAAATGAAAGGTTATTTTAAACTATTATTAGAGCTGAAACGATCAGTCGATTGATATTATACATAATTACCTGATTATATTATTTGGCAACTATATTGATATCTTGATTTATTGCTAGTATTATCTCAAATGTTCCTAGTTGCAGGTTTACATTGATGACGATTTTATGTTTTTCTTTGTTTTATGAAATAATAAACAGATTTTCTTTATTTTTGGGCTTCAAAATGTCCCTTCAGACACTGTTTATTAATCGAACAATGTTTCAGTTACAAAGACTTTGGTCACTTTTTGGCAGATTAATAATAGGAATTTTTTTTTTGTTGGGCCAACAAATGGAGAGAAAATAACTGTCACTGTAATAGAAAAATATTAAATCAATAACAAAACGTAATATTGTCAATGCCAATCATATCACAGAGTATGATGTGGTCCCATCAAGCGGGCGATGTAATGATGGTGATATTTTTGTTCTGTATATTAGGAGTCGTGAATGGACCAAACTTAAAAAAAACTGCATTTAAAGGTACCTTAACATACCTACATATGAGGTCTGAATTCTCTCTCAGCTAGATAGTTTTACTGCCGTGTGATCCGAGCAGCAACACGGACACTCGATCCCCGAGTCCCTTCGTCACTGAGGGCTCTTCGGGGGATGAGAATGGTCCTAAGATCCCCGGTGGAGACAGAACCTGCTCTTTTATTCACCAGCTTTAGGCGGACCTGGCCTTTTAGCCTGAGGGATCAGATGGGGGGGAGGATCAGATGGGGGGATCAGATGGGGGGGGCTTGTTGAGTTTCTTCTGCACATGTAAAAAATAAGCATAAAGGTACATCTCGGAGGCTTTGTAATCTGTAAATACTGTAAAGGCTCCATCATGATGCTGTGCAGCAGAGTGTGTGTGAAAACACTCGGAGCTTCCTGTCAGAGCCGACAGCTGGTGGTCTGAACCGAGTGAAGATCCCGACGAGCTTTCTGGGAACTCCGATAGGATGAAATGGTGAAACAGACAAAGAGTGATCTCACGGGGTCGATCCAATTAACACAGTCTGAAGGTGTGGCGCCATGAGGAGGCTATAACGCTCCTCAAATAAAAACGTGAAACAAACACATATGGGGGGTGTATAAAATCCCTTATAATTAATGAGATTTATGACGTCTGTCATCCCCCCCAAAAAAAACACAGTAAGCCTGAAGGTATAAAAAAATAGGTATTCTGTGGTTTAATTTGTGGCCAGATTGAAGTAAATCTTCAGATTAAATTAATTATCATTACTCAACAAGAGACTGTAGAATTTGCTTTTGGTACTGCATGGTAACGAGGCTCAGTTTTCAGTGCCAGGAAACATCAGTCAGTCCTTCCTGCAGAAGAATTGTTTGCACTTCAGAAATGCTCAAATCTGTCCGTGTGCGTCTTCCTCCAGATCTGAATTACTGCGGTCGGCACCACCTTTGTGTGAACGGAGGAACCTGCATGAACACAGAACCAGACGAGTTCCACTGCTCCTGTCCTCAGGGATACTCCGGCAAGACCTGTCAGATCGGTGAGAGAGAAACCACGCTACTGCTGTCTTTGAAAAAGGACATTCACACACTGTTTTTGTTCAATCGGGCTCGTTCTTCTGTCATGTACAATATTTCATCTTTCCGCTTTGTTCCCTTTGTGGTACAAGCTCAGTAAGATAAAGTCCTTTTTATTAGGCGATTCATACAGCAAGAACATCCAAAACAGTGCTTCTCAAATGTGAATATTTGCTGCATTTTTGCCATATAGGGTTGTGGACTGTTAGTTAAATAAAACAAGCAATTGTAAGATGTCATCTTGTTTTTATTTGTTTTCAATTTGATGATGAATAATCAAGAATTAAAACAATCCATAGTTATAACCCCATCAATTACTTAAGCACTCATATATAGATACTAGTGAAACATGCTAAATGCAATATTTCTAATATGTACTGTGACTAAGTGGAGAAAATGCCTTGAAATCTCTGAATCTTTAAGGAAATGTTAATTCTGTTGTTCTGTTTTAAACCCTCCAGCTGAGCACGCCTGTGTTTCCAATCCTTGCGCTAACGGCGGTTCATGCCACGAGGTTCCTTCAGGGTTCAAGTGCCACTGTCCACCAGGCTGGGAGGGTCTGACCTGTGCCAACAGTGAGTAACTGGTGCACATTTCAATTATCTCCACTTTTTTTTTTTAATGCTGATCCTTGCAGTTACATATTTGACTCCCAGACACGTCTGTAACTTGTCCTACTAACTGAAGGTTAACTTCTCAATATATCAAGGCTCTCTTAACACAACCCTCTTCACCTCTCCATGTCCTTTTTCACTATGTTCAGACAGTGAGTTTAAGAGTGTTTTCTTCTCAGATTTGGACGAGTGTGCGTCCAGTCCATGTGCTCAGGGAGGAACCTGTGTCGACCTGGAGGACGGCTTTGAGTGTGTGTGCCCTCCGCAGTGGAAGGGAAAGACCTGCCAGATAGGTGAGATTCATGCTTTCAGTAAACACACAGTATTTCAAACAGCCTCTGGTGAGAAGCACACAAAAAAATAAGTATAAGATTTCCTGTGTTTTAGTTTTTTTGGCAAACAAACTCTTCATTTCTACAGGGAGACGTGTTTTTGTAGCCGTTTCTTTCCTGTTTGTGCCGTAAAACAAATGAAATGGCCTCTGAGACTTCGGCACAGAGCTCAGGATATATGTTTTAGAATTAAAATTGGCCACCAGCAACCTGAGCCACGCTGTTGATATCCTGGGCAGCTGCACAGCTCTTTTTTTCTCAATGACTTTATGAGCTACTAGTGTGTCTATATCCGGCTGTTTGTTTGCTGCTGCTGGTGGCATCGTTTTTTTTATATCGCTCCTGTCTCTGAAAGCGGACGTGACCGGCGTGAAGCCAGGAAATGGATTACGACTGGTAAACAAGTTGGGGTGTGTGTGTGTGAGTGTGTATGTCAGAAGGTAGGAAAGAGATCCCAAGAGTTCAGTGTCATCTTACCAGCTCAGATCTCAGCTTACAGGCGGCCATTGGCCTCCTGTCTTACCTGGCAATTGTGTGTGTGTGTGTGTTTGTATATAGAGTTTAGGGTTTCAGAGAGAGGACAGGTGTGTGAGGGAGCACAGCAGGACTCCCTGCAGATTGCCCCCCCCCCCCCCCCCCCCCCCCCCTCCATTCCTGTGAATATTTGAGCAGCGTTGCTTTTCTTTGTTGTAAGACTTTTGATGTCTTTGAAGGTTTTGAGGGCAACTGAAGACTTTTCTCTCATTATATTCATTTCGAACAGATGAAAAATGAATGTGTCAGCTGTTGTGACTTTGAAGCTTTTCTGCGGGAGGTCTGGGAATTTTCAGGAAAAAAATAAACTGATTGGGTCCCAATTAAATTCAGTTTCAGTCTAATGTGATAGCTTCCATAACAGGACACGTTTCAATCAAATTCAATTAATAGGTCAAATTAACAGAATGATATTTGTTCTTATTGTGGGGTAAGCTCACATTAAACAAAGGCAGCAATGACTGTGGAGTGAGAAAGAGGGGTATAACACATACAAAGGTCCAACACCACGTCGCGTTTCTTCTATTTTAATGCCTTAGGAAGCTCTGATATTTTTCCCAAAGCTGCAAGAAATTCTGTGTTCAGCTACTTATAGCTGCCCACTGCTCCTAGTACTAGACTCCTGGTACTAGGATGGGTTAAAAGCAGAGAACAAATGTCACTGTGTGCTGTGTGCTCTGCATGTGGGACCATTAACGAGGGTTTCATCCCTCCGATTCTATTCTATCTATTAAATATTTGAAAAGGTGCTACTTCTGGGTGTTTCTGGGTGTTGCAAATGATATATCTTTGAGTATTTAGACTTGTACGGTCACCACCGACTCTAAGGACATGAGAGGGTCCCATTTTGGCATTTTATCAATTAAGTAGTTTATCAATAAAACTCACAAACAAATTCATAGATGTATATATTGTGGGACTATAACTATTATTTTATTTTATTATTGTAATTGTTTCCAAATTATTGTGTTTTATTACTTTTTTTAAATTGTATTTTTTTCATTATTTACTCCCAAATAACGGCTAAACAACACAGGGTCCTACATTTAGCTGTATGCAACCAATAGCATCTCTTCTACCACACAAATCTTTCTGTTGAATATTTCAGTCTCCAAGCCGACCTAACTAACCAAATAACCCCCGATGACACCGTCAGGGTTTCTAAGGTTGGGTTTCTGGTCTCTTTTCTTTCTCGTTGACCTCTCCTTTGGTTTGTTTTCAATTGATGGACTCGGTCTCCCTTTACTTCCTGCCTTCACAGATACAAATGAGTGTGCAGGAAAGCCCTGCGTGAACGCTTACTCTTGCAAAAATTTGATTGGCGGCTATCACTGCGACTGTTTTCGGGGATGGTCCGGACAAAACTGTGAAATCAGTCAGTATTTACCTCGTCTAAAAGTCACTTCTTAAATGTCTGCCCTTCCACTGGCGTCCTCTTCTTCTGGCTACCTCTCACTTCCTGGACTCACAACATAGGTGTAGCTTAGCGTCACTCGCTTTTCCCACATGTGGTAACCCGTTTGCTTTACCGTCTTGGCAAACAAATCATATTCGAATATGCATGACCAGTCCCTCTTTCTGGATCCAATGCATGCCCATTTACAACCTATACAAGGTCTTTTTGGCACTCTCTTGGCTTCACTAGTGATTTCTTTTCCAAATTCTGATAATCCGTGCACATCCCGCATTGTAGGTTGGTGGAAAAGTTAATAAAACATGTTAGTCATAATGTTTTATAATGAAATGTAACTTTTGCCTCCTGTTCAGACATCAACGGCTGCCATGGTCAGTGCCAGAACGGAGCAACATGCAAGGTATGGATGTTTTTTAATTCAATGTATATTCCACCTCCGTTCTTCAACCTTGTGTTTGTCGTTGCATCTTTAAAGGTCACCTTTTGTGCAAAATCCACATGTCTTTCCTACATCAACATGTGTCCCCTCTGTGTTAAAGAGACTCTGAAAGTTTCAGGAACAAAGATTCTCTCTCTTTTTGTCCTGATCCATTTATATAAAAACCTGTCTGAAAATGAGCTGATCAGATTTTGGCCACTTTATGATGTCATAACGATTTCTTGGCTTGTGTAACCATTAGCCAATCAGCAACAAAGGTACCCCCCCACCTTATCACCTGAATCTCCTCCTAGAGCACCATTGTGTTCTTTTTAACCAAATATCTCTCAGAGGGGCGTGGGGAGGGGCTCCTTATTTTCATCTAAAGTAACAGACAGAGAATCAGCACTTTGGAAACAGGGCTGAAACAGGGGATTATGGGTAATGCTGCAATGATCTGTTTGGTATTTCGAGCCAAACACTTCAGAGACATGTTCAGTATATATCTGAGACCTGTAATATAGTGATGAAAAACAGTATAATAGGGGACCTTTAATATCTACGTATGTTTGCAATAATTCCCCACGTTTTTGCACAGGGACGGATATTGTTTGAATAGTTTAATACTGGGTCCAATTGAAATTCCAAAGGCAATAACGTATTTTGGGGGATTTTTAACCCTTTTCCGACAAATCGTGTTTTCACTTCAGAGACATGGTTTGTATATATCTGAGACCTATAATATATTGATGAAAAACAGTATAATAAGGGACCTTTAACTCATCTCTCTTTGTGTTTTCTGTAGGAGGGCCAGAGGAGTTACCACTGCCAGTGTCCTCCAGGCTTTGTAGGCACTCACTGTGAAATCCAGAGGAACAAGTGTGAGAGCAGACCGTGTCAGAACGGAGGACAGTGCCACGCCGTGCTGGACGGCTTCGTGTGTCAGTGCCCACCGCAGTTTGCTGGACAGCTGTGTGAGGTGGGTCTCGTGTTACACAGGTCACATTGGATTATTGAGGATACAGTGACGGATTATACACTGGTGTTACCCTTTGTTTTGAATAGCCTTAGGACTTCATTAGTGACACATTACATGTCTGGAGAGGAAAGTGTTTTTGTGATAAAAGTCTACAATCCCAACTAAATGGCGTACAGGTCAATACTGGTGGGAGGTCTAGAGCTACACACTCTTAATCGATTGGTCTACTTCTGAGTCGACTAAGTTTTCTTTAGTTGATTTTAAATGCTTTTTTTCATGCTGAACGACTTATTTCCAAAAACGTATGAACACATCTCTGGTAAACACAAGATTTAAAGTTGACTTCTTTGTGGAGACATTCAGTTTTACAGATCTGTTGATTACATTAAGTAGTCGACAAAATTGCGTTTGTTGTTTAACAATATCTTTAGTCGAGGATTCGCCCTTGGGATGTTTTCTGTGAACTGCTCAGCAACAACCTTTTTCCTACCCTTTGGATACAATAGGCAAAAGTCAGAATGTGGAAAAACATGCCAAGGAAATGATTCAATCCAAGCCAAGATGATATGGTAAAAAGAATATAATACTAATACATACTTGACGGCTATTTTGATTTAGAAAACATACGTTAAGTGGCTTGTTGTGCTGTGCAAATACTCAATCTGCAGTAGTCATCACAGCACAGTTATGTAATCCAACTACCAACACAAACAGTTGTGTAATGTTTCCAGCCAAATAAACTAAGCCAAGGTTTCACTGCAAGCTTCTGTAGTAATTGATCATTAAGTTTCATGCAGACACGACATATCGGTGTCCTTGCTGCAGCCTTTCTATAATGGAAGTGTGTGTTGGAAGCTAATGTAGGTTAGCAGGGAGGAAACTGACACTCCACTGCATCTCCTGGGCCCTGAATGGAGGACATTGCTGGTCAGGAGCCAATCCTGTTTTAGCATCTCTACTATAAATATGAGCCTCTCTGAATGAGGCGCCGCTGGATTTCTGCCCGCATACTACAGAGCTCTGACGCCTGCTATGGCACGGTGTGCATTCCTGCCCTGCAGTGCCACAACTACAAACGCCTCCTGCGCCGTGTTGCTCCGATTTAGTTTCCCCTTTCAAGTCCAGAACAGTTTGATTGTGTTTTTGCCCATTCCTAATCTGACTCATTTCTTTAGAAGAGACAAGGAGTTCCAGGAAAGAGAACCCTTATTCTCTTAGTAGGTGATATGACGGTGATATTGATCATGTAGGGTCAGATTATGAATTTATTCCTTTGTTTACCCGAAAAAGTGTAATTATTTGGTCATTGTGGCTCTATGGATGGCAGCATTGGTGGCTCAATAACTTTGGTTTAGACTTGCGTATCACAATAGTCATGAACCCTAAATGATGTATCCTAATGATTTTGGCCCTGGTGTTTTCTTTTTTGCGCCACCAACAAGTTGAAATTATGAAGTCATTTTGTTTAAAAAAAAAAACTCAAATTTGGAACAAACCATATATACCAATGCTTACTGGTATATTTTTCGTCCTGTGCTGCAAATAAGAAAATGTTCACATCATTGCAAAAAAAGTGACATCCTTTGTAATGCATTATATCTTTATTGTATATGATTAACCCTCCTGTTGTCTTTGGGTCAAATCTGACCGATTTACTACTTTCATCAATCATAACTTTTTTGTTTTGCATTCGATTGCATTAAGGCTTTATGATATCCTTCACAGTAGACATTTGAACATATGAAATAGCTGATCACCACTGTCATTGCATTTTGGATGATTTAGTCAACTTTGTAACACCCATGGTGTTCCCGGTCAAAAATGACCGCCATAAAGAAAAGGAATTAGTAACCGTCCGGATCAGATAACACAAGCACACACACACACTCTCTAGATGTGTCCCCCCCCCCCCCCCCCCTTATGTGCCCAATCCCCCCATGTGAATCACACCTGGCACACACACACACTCACAAACACACACACACAGAACAATTTGACACATTTCCCGCTCTTATGTGCCCCTCCCCCCACATAGATCACACCTGGCACACGCAATACATGTTCAGTGTCTATTCTTAGTATATTTACTGCAGTTTTTCATGTATACCAGTAGTCTGATACAATATGTACAGTTTGAAAGGGTGTTAAATGACATTTGGTGATGATTAATGGTTTTTGTGTTAATGTAATAGCAGTTAAAACAGGACCGGTCAAATTTGACCGCGAACACCAAAGTAAGGGGGGGGGAAACGAAGACAATAGGAGGGTTAAAGGGGCCTTATTATGTTTTTTCGGGGGTTTGTCCTTTCCTGTAATGTGTTATATATATTTGTGTGTATGTAAATGGTCTGCAAAGGTTAAAACTCCAGTGGGAATTTCTCTCCCACACACTTGTTTACACAAAATACAAACATGAAATGAGCATAATAGGGCCCCTTTTAAGGGGTAGGAATAACCACCTAACGGCTTTATTTCTGAACTTTCTATGATTTCTAGAGGTTTCGATTAAATCACATGATCTTTAACTGCAATTAGAGTGTTCATGAAATGGTCAGAAATGAACAGAAAGTATTAAAAAACTGCTGAGGGAAAAATAGATATGACAAATTGAATCACCCATGCTTTAAACAATGATGAGATATGATCAAAAGCTCCAGATGAATTAATATATGGACCTTACAATGATATGTGAACTGATTTTTTTTTAAAGGTTAAAAAAGGACCTCATTTGATAAAGTTGCTCCAACATGCATTTGCTTTCTTAAATAAGCAGTATTCTAGTTATTTCCTTATGGATTTACACGTTTTGTTTCAAATATCCAGGACCATTTGCTTTGTAAAAGAAGAGTAAGGCCAATTTAATGGTGCTATCGACCATCAAAAGTCTGTTTTTTTTATTGCAGAATGTATTTATAGTTGACCTCAAGTAATTCATATGACGTTGCCTGGTGGTTTTCTGCTATAAATAAATCCTCGATCTGTCTGCCGCAATGAGAAATGTCTCTTGTGCTGTGAATAGTCCAAACAGTCGCGTTAATGTGCTGAAGATTTATAGACTCTCTTGCCCTCAGACACGCTCCCCTGACCACACACACAGGCAAATAGTAAAAGAAAAAAATGTATCTGGCCCTGACACTTAAGGTAAAATAAACTGTGTGTGACCGCAGACCTCACCCTACTCTAACTCTGTGTTCAGCACCTTAAATGGGAAGGGGTGCAACACAGAGTTTATGCACAGTAGGCTTCTGTTTACACAAACTGGGACATTTTTACTCCAACCTCTGTATTGCTGCAGGTAGAAATGGGAAAATATGTCACTCTAGTTTCTGTGTCACGGTGGTATGACGGATGATTTGTCTTCATTGTATTCCCTTGCGGCTCTGCACCATGTTGGACCAGAGTCAATATTTGCGCTCATAATGGGCTGTTTTTTCTCATGCATGCTCTCTCTGTTCTGTCATGCTTCTGTCTCAGAATAACCCTGCAAGATTTAGCGGGGCACACAGATGTGTAAAACCAAAAGCGTAGATTCCCTTGATGAGCTTAGGGACAGTTTCTGAGGCTTACTCTGCTCGTCCACTTACTTTCCATTTGTTCTGAACGGCGGCGGAGGCTCGAGCCAAGCTAAGCCGTCACCTGCACAGACTTAAGATCTGCTCATTTGGCTTTACTTGCATCTTCACTTGTTTTAATAATTAGTTAAGAACCATTTCAGTGAGTGGCCTTTGGCAAGTTAACGTACTAATCTAGTGGAACTGCTAATTGGAAATGAAGGGATGGAGTTCAACTTTTTAAATGTCCAATTGGTCGGATCTACTTTCTTATAGAAATAAATATAAAATGGAAGGCTTACTTTCCTAATCATACTAAATCAAGCCTAGATGTATTGATTATTGACACGTTTTGACACAACATTGATATGTTATGGTGAACAAATATGCTAATTCACACCCATTAGACGTGGATTAACATTAGCGTCATTTTGAGTTGTGTTTCTGAGCACCTGGTGAATCTGAGTCTCAATATTTACACTCGTTTTGGCTCTGTTTATGTCTCCACCAACTCGTGAAAGTAATAAACAGATAAAGAGGCAGTTACTTTCTCACTTTGTCTGCCTTCTAACCAAAATAAAAAATACACTTAAATACTAGGTGATCGGTGTCACTCATGATGATGAACCTACAGGGATTTAATAAAGAGTTCATATCAAATATTGGTTTGTGCAGAAATGTCTGTTCTTTGTGTCCCCCTTATTGTAAAGTAATGATCTTTCTCTCGTCTTGGTTTCCTCAGATCTCTGGCTGGACCCCCTCAGATGCATGTGATCCGAACCCCTGTGAGAACGAGGCCCAGTGCCACAGCATGGAGCAGGACTTCTACTGCGCCTGCCCCGAAGGCTTCAAGGGGAAAACCTGTGAGCGTCTGAAGGAGAACTGCCAGACCGCCCTGTGTCAAGGTGACTGAACTGTCTGCAAAGATATACCAGGACTGAACAAACTACTCAAAGAAAAGTTATGCATTTTAACTGTTTTTCTTTTTATCCTTCAGTGATTGACAGCTGCACTGTTGCTGTGGCGACCAACGACTCAGCCGGAGTGCGTCACATCTCCTCAAACGTCTGCGGGCCGAGAGGACGATGCATCAGCCAGCCCACCGGAAACTTCTCCTGCTTCTGTGACCCGGGCTTCAGCGGCATCTACTGCCATGAGAGTACGTAGAGACTCTTGCATTGAGATTTCTACCTCTTTTGTATACTATCATGCCTACAACTGAAACTAAAAATGCAGTTCTTCCTGCAAAGATTTCTTAAATTATTAACCCGTGTGTTGTGTTCAAAAGCTGTTACCGTTCATGGTGTTCGCGGGTCAATTTTGACCTATGATTTATCTCAGTCCAAAACACTCAAAAATAATGACTATCATCCAATATTGTTTTAACTACATCATAACTAACTTATAATGCATTCATAACTGTACAATCCTGTTGTAATTTTATTTTATGGCCCCAAAAAACATGCGATTCAATTCACTCATATTTCCTATAGTGAAGACAGTGGATCATTACGTTATCTGACTATAATAGACTAATATTAGAATACAATCTCCCCAAAATAAGTTTAAAATCATTGTTACAGTTGATGAAGGGGGTGGGGGAGGGGTGTCTAAAGTCAAAGATGAATCTTGATTGGGCCAAATTTGACCTTGAGTCACCCACAACAATTCTGCTGGGTCTCCACAGACCCCAACACCAAATGATACACTTTTTTTTTTTTAGAGACCTTCAGACTTGGCTAAAATTGTCAAAATCAGTTTGGTAGTGTTTATATAGCTGTTGTGGAGGATATCATGAAGCCTTGTTCCAATACAAAAAACTAGAGCGTAGTTATTATATAATTTGAACTTCAAACGGGTCACGGGAGACCCGAACACAACATAAGGGTTAACAAACAAAATGTGTCAACTTAAATGTGATAGAAAAATGAACATGTTTTTAACTTCATCATTGAAAATTAACAATAGGTAGTTTCTAACAAAATATAATGTCAAACACTCAAATGTATGTTAAATAATGGTATAAGCAGAAATAAGTATTTTAAAGTGTTGAAACTTGTATAAAATCTTTTTAAATGTGAACACAATATATCAAAGCTTTGTCCATACCTAAGGATTTACAGCTATTGTGAACCAATAAAAACGGCATGATGCGTAAGCTTTAATAAACATTTATGAAGTGTTTATGAACCAGTTATAAATTCTAAACAGGGAGGGTTTGAAAGTGTTACTAGTAATCTAGTCTAAATACTAACTATTTACTACTTCCAAAAGTGTTGAATCCATCTAACTTCCCCCTTGACTTTTTTTTAGACATCAACGACTGCACCAGCAACCCCTGTGGGAACGGAGGGACCTGCATTGATGGAGTGAACTCGTTTCAGTGCGTCTGTCCCGATGGTTGGGAGGGTCGACTCTGTGACCTCAGTGAGTTCATCGCCTGTAACATAACTCACTGCAGCTACCTTCAACCATGCAGCATTTTAGATAGTTTACAGAAGAGCTTCTGTGTATTCATTTGCACTAAATGGAAGACAAGTTTGGTAAAGGTCTCATCATCACCAGCTAAAGACACGTCTTTTTAGATGAGCTTTTTATTAGCAACCCCCCACTTTAAATGTGCTTTTAGTCTTTATTATTTACCTACCTTTATATATTTTTTATTTGATTTAATAGGTCTTAAAGGATGTTATCTTATTTTATTAATCTAACATGCTTCAATAGCAATATTTATTTTTACGTTGGTCTTTTTTATTTCTTAATCGTTTAACCTTTATTAGAATAATGGTATTTTTATTACTAGTATCTTTTTATTTGTATTTCTGTTGTACCTATATGTTCATATGGGGTTTTATATTGCTGCATCGATTCAGTTGTCTTGTGTCTTATCTGTCAGAGAGACAGTTATTTATTTCATTTGTATTATCATACATTTTACCTCCTTGTGTCTATTAACCTGATCAAATGTTATATGTTGCTACATGTACCTGTAAAGTTCTTAACAAATAATCTGAGGGGAATTTCTTGTTTATTTTGAACTTGTGATGTGTCATTTTGTAAAGCACTTTGAGCTGCATGTGTTGTATGAAAAGTGCTATATAAATAAAGCTTTTTTTATTATCATGTATTCCTTCCTCCAGATGTCAACGAGTGCAGACACAACCCGTGTAAGAACGGCGGGCGCTGCGTGGATCTGGTGAACGACTTCTACTGCGAGTGTGCCGACAACTGGAAGGGCAAGACCTGCCATTCCCGTGAGTTATGTGGAGTCTGTGTTAATGTGTGTGTTTATGTTCTGTAGGCTTTTGAGGCACAGACGCCACCATGCTTACACATCTTTGTATGTTATGAGTACATTTGATCTCAAGAACAGAGGTGGACAGAGCACTCAGATCTTTGTTTAACTGAAAGTATTATTACCACAGCGTAGGAATAACTCAAGTAAAAGTCCTGCATTAAATGTTTTAGTCCTTAGTACTGCACAAAGGCCCTTTTCAGAATAATATAGATTAGACTTTTTGATGCATTAAAATGTTGTTAATGGAGGAGATAAATATTTTTACTACATATACGGTCGGGATTTGTTATTCTATTCTTTTATCACTAATCTGAATATTACATGTCACTTGTTAGACGCTTTTATCCAAAGCGACTTACATACTCAATACTGTGGGCAATCCCCACAGGAGCAATTTGGGGTGAAGTGTCTTGCCCAGTGACACAACGACATGCTGACTGCAGTGGGGTTTGAACCTGTGACCCCCTGATCCGAACACCTACGCACAACCCACTGCACCACACGCCCCCATATATATACGAATATGAATCGTGAAAATTAGTAAAGTTACACATAAATGTAGTAGACTTTCTGAATTTATTTTCTTCTGAATTGTAGTGGAGTAGCATGGAATTTGTAATGTTAAGCTTAAGTACTAGCTCTTCAAAGTTGTACTTGAGGCCAATACTTGACTAATTGTAATAAGTGTATCTCAACACAAGCATAAGAAGTACATTTTCTTTTGTTATGAATAGTTATACAAAGTGTCTGACCTCAGTGTGTCTCTGTGTTCCTGACCAGGTGAGAGCCAGTGTGACGCGACCACCTGCAGTAACGGAGGAACCTGCTACGACCACGTAGACGCTTTCCGCTGTGCCTGCCCTCCTGGATGGGGAGGAAACACCTGCAACACAGGTGAGGCCTGAGGACTGCTTCTATTACATAACCTATTCAAATCAGATATTAATAGATTGCTTAAACTACTAGTACAGATAGTATACTCAAGGACACAACACAGTAACAGTTTAGCTTTTTATTTAGTTGAGTGCTGTCCACTGGTAGTCACTGTACCATATATAGAATGAGTTGATGTCAAGCACTCATTGTAAAGCCCCTTTCACACATGCACCACTACATACAGCTCCTCCAGGTAATGTCTATACAGTTTATCAGCTGCTCCTTACAAGCCTAATTTGAATGACAGGATTGTTTCTTTGCAATATTATGGATTCAGACAGATTTGAAATGCCTTCATTTGTAAGTGCAAGCATACCGTTTTATACTATTTCTGTATTTTGGATATGTGATCCTTGACTAATGCCTCCTCTCTTCCCACAGCCAAGAACAGCACATGCGCCTCCAGTCCTTGCTCCAACAGTGGGACCTGTGTGGGAGGAGGAGACACTTTCACCTGCATCTGCAAAGAGGGCTGGGAAGGCCCCACCTGCGGCCAGAGTGAGTTTCTCTATGTGGATTTGCAGGAAACTGACATTAAAGTCATCATACTTACAGCTATAAATGTACTTATGATGCCTTTTTAAGGCCTAGATGCCCAGTTCTTTTTATTTGCGCAACATGCTAAATATTATGTGCAACTTAATTATCTAAGACTGCAAATAAAAACGCACTAAAAATGCTTGGTAGTAGATATTTTATCTTGCATAATATCCAACATTTTTATAAAGGCAATGGAAGAATTACACAGATATGGCGCTGTAACAACTTATCTCTACAGTAAGTGTCTCTTTGTGGTTTGTTTCAACAGATATAAACGACTGCAACCCTCATCCATGGTGAGTACAGTTTCCTACATCATAAACCCCCACCACCCCACACACCCCTTTCTCTCCCTCATCTCCACACTTCACACAGAGCTTGCAGGCTGGAGGGGTGAAGGGCCGCTAAAAGCAGTGGAAGTTGTTCTTAAATCAAGCCTCAAAGGGGCATCTCTCAGAGGAGGGGGGTCTTCGATATTCAATAGGACAGAGAGAGGTGGCGAGAGAGGTTTTTTTTTTGAGGGAGGAGGACAACAGTCCCACCTACCCCATGGTGAATGCAGGTGGGGGGAGGGCGTACGTGTCCATTCTTCCCGTTCGACCTGGGGGGGGAGTCGGGCTTTGAGGAGGAATGGAAGGAGAGGCATGATGAGAGGAGGGGAGGGGAGTCGCTGGACACGCCAATTAGCATCTGAAAGGTGGAGGCTTGTATTGATGAGTTGAATTGAGCCTTGTGACCCCCCCCATCTCCACCATCACACGCACACAGAAAATATGTGCTTTGTTGCAGCTGGAAAGGATGTGGCTCCTGTACTCAAAGATTCAAAGGCTTTTTTGTCACGTGCACGGTAGCTAAAGTGTAGATATGACAATGAAAATCTTAAGTCCCAGGCTCCTCCAACAATGCAACATAATATATATATATATATATATATATATATATATTATATATATATATCATAAATCAATAAAACGTAAACATAGTATTAGAAGAAACATAGTGGAATAGACTAGAATAAAAATAGTGCATGTGCAAGTAATGCAGATGAAGTCAACTATGTCAGAAAATAAATAAATGCAATAAGCTAAATAATGCAGAGAATGTTGTAAGTGACCAAGTAAATGGAGAAGTCTATATTCATGTAAATAAACTAAGATAGACTAGAACAGAATGCACATTTAAATATTGTACAGTGAAATAAAATACTGTTGTACTAATCGTTTTTCATTTCTTTCCTCTCTTCAGTTATAATGGCGGTATCTGTGTGGACGGAGTCAACTGGTTTCGGTGTGAGTGCGCTCCTGGGTTCGCCGGACCAGACTGCAGAATCAGTGAGTAAAGACATGAGGTTACTTCATGTTGAAAAAATATCACTCGTCACCGGCTTGAGCTTCAATAATCAGGATCCATGTATTTATTATCCTTGCAAGAATGGAAGTAGTCATCACATACAGAGCATTTGGTCCAACTAGTTCCTGAACAGTGTCCTTCACATGCTGATATCCAAGAGAGGGAGTTACACAGTCACAAGATGGAGGAATAACGGTTCAAAGCAGTGCACAATGTTTAGTTCAGATTAGCTAAGACCCACGTCAGAAATGATCATGCTTGTCATATGTCTATCTCCATAGAGGCTGAATCATCATGTTAATCACATAGCTATCATATGCCTAAAACAGTCCTGGCGCTCTTCTAGGTAATCATACATCCTGTTACGTACACAGCTACAGTTGGGATACCTTTGTTATCATGTGCTACTCTGATATTGGAAGAGAACATTCAGTATTTTCCCAACACTTCACATGCTGTTTGAATCAGAATCAGAATTCCTTTATTTGTACTGCAACGGGCAAACAGCAGAAGTATAGTGCACAAGACCCTAACAGCCATAGTATGATTAGGAGGATGGATAGGTGGAGAGAGGAAAGGCCGAAAGGAAAAGGGGGGGGAGACCAGCAGGAGATGGACACATTGACACCTAAATGCAAGACCAGGACGCCGCCCTCTCCCTTTTTCTCGGTCCTTTAACGCCTCAGGGGTCAGAGGCCGTCCCTCCTCCATACTCACACAGTCACACAAACACACACGGAAGACAAATTACCCAGTGACCCTGAAATTCTTCTTCTCTGCTCCTTTGTTTCGGCCGGATAGCGTTCACCTTTTCTGTCAGGCTTGAATTTGAGAATCCTCATCCCGACTGTGTTCATGTGGAATCTGGGTGACAATGGGTTAGGGTTCCCAGTGATTTCTATGGGAAGGGACAATTGATATGTGTCGTTCAAAGAGCTTCTTATAGAGCAGATGTGTTCATAGTCCAACATACACAATTTACTCATTTATGTTGTCGGTCTCAGACAAACTACTGTATGTTCTAAATATTTGGCTTTGTGATTTAATTTGCACAAACTGAAACGTCATGGTCTTGACCCGTTATGAGTGTTCATGAGATGATTCACATAATTGCTAGAAAGAGGCTTAAACATACATGCATAATTGTAGTTTATTTGGTTAAAATGCAAAGTTATACAACAAAATCAGTACATTTCCTTTAAACAGTGTATTGTGGATTTGCTGGCACATCAATTTGCCCAGTTTACTATTAGCAAGTTATTTTTGACCTTTTTAAAGCGAGTGGCAAAATCAAAAATGGAGAAACATCCATTTTGAACCTCTTCCGTCAGAAAACAATGTCAATGTGGTTGATGTGGTGGCTTAAATATGTTTGCATACATGTTGTCAACCTATAATCCCTTTAGCTAAGGAGCTAACTGTAACTTGACAATTTTGTATGACTCAGTAATATAGAAAGAGGCCCCATGAATTACTAATGCTAGCATGTTAGCGGTTTTCTAGTTAGCTACAGCAGATAATTTACAAGCCATATAAGAAAATTCCTACGTTGCCAAGTTCATAGACATGCGAAGACGTGAGGCAAATTTAGCCATTCCTCTTTCTGGTTTGACCGGGCGTTTACTTGTCTTTAAAATAAGTTAAAATGTTAGAATCCAGTACCTTGTGTCCAACTTAAATGTAATGCTCCTCTTACCTTCACAGACATAAACGAGTGCCAGTCTTCGCCCTGTGCTTACGGTGCCTCCTGTGTGGACGAGATCAACGGTTTCCGCTGCATCTGTCCACTCGGTAGAACAGGAGCCCGATGCCAAGAGTGTAAGCGTACATCTTCAATCTACTGTTATAATTCACTCCATCAAATGATTTGCAGTATAGAGTCAACATTTGTACCCATTGTACCTAATTTGATCTTAATTTGTAATATATGCTTATTACTGCTACAGAAGTTTAACATGTCCCGGTCTGTCTGTAGTTATAGGTATTGGGAAGACTTGCCGCTTTGCTGGGCTGCAGTTTCCACATGGCAGTCACTGGGAGGAGGACTGCAACAGCTGCCATTGCATCAATGGCAAAGTGGAATGTACAAAGGTAACCAGCCCTACTTAAATAACATCCCTACTAAAATACAGCGCCAGCAAATATCTGCTACATCTCAATTACAAACACAAACAACAGCAAGCAATCATGCTCTGAGAAAAAAAGAGTTTAAAGGCGAAACAATGACTCAAATTAGTTTCAAATTCAAGGCAAGGCAAGGCAAGGCAAGTTTATTTATATAGCACCTTTCAACACAAGGCAATTCAAAGTGCTTTACAAAAATGGAAGACATTAAGAAAATGGCATTTAAAATCAGTCATTAAAAAGAAAAGATAATAAAATAAACATTAAAAGAAAAAATACATGGATAAAAGTTCAATTCAACTCACAATACATAATTTGTTTAAGTCAAAATAACAAATATTGAATGGTTTTGCTGATATTCTTTGCCTTAAATTATAGTAAACGTATTTTGTTTTGATAACTTGTTAATTGCGATGGACTTTTTTTCACTATTTTCTGAAACATTCAAAGAAAAAATAATCAATACATTTATTGAGAAAAGGGGTTCAACAATAATACAGTCCACAGTGTAATATCGTTAAATTAGATCATGCCTAACATTTGTTGCCTGTCGTTAAAACTCAACATGCAGAAAACCATTATAAGTGTGTGGTTACATGTATGTGAAGATGTATTGCGTGTGACACCAGGTGCTGTGTGGTCGTCGTCCCTGCCGGCTCCAGACTTCAGGCTCAGATCAGAGACATCAGTCCTGCCCGGCTGGACGCCAGTGTCTGGATCACAGCTACCTCACCTGCTTCTCCCCCCCTTGCCATCAGTGGGGGGTTTGCTCCATGACAGGAGCCTCACCTCCAAAAGCAACCACCAAGTGCCAGCCAAACACCGGGCATTTGGATAACAGCTGTGGCCGCATAACACTCCTTTTCAACAAAGACAAAGTACCAACAGTGAGTCATGTCTTCATGTAAAATATGTTCTTGTTGAAGCTACATTTTAAAGGAGCAGTGTCTTTTGTATTGTTCCTTAAAATGATGTATGTGAACTTGCAGGGAACAACAGTGGAGAACATATGCCATGAGCTAAGGTATCTTCCTGATACCCGAGGTTTGGCAAAGGACCACTCCCTTCTCCTGCTGTGTGACCTCTCTCAGTCGGATCAGGATGCTGTAGAGGTGGCTATAGTAAGTAAATGATCCAAGTTTTTATGTTATGCCTTTCTTGGCATGAGCCACTGTCCACTATACTCTTTACTTTGTACAATTATATCAAAACAACCCCATTTAGATTGAGTGTTTGAGGTCCTCAGTTCTTAAATGTTCTCTGGTTTGGTTTTTCAGTCTTTCCATCCAGAGGATCTTCCCGACCACAGTCTTATCCGGGAGGCAGCCAGCGCTATAGTGGGCACGTTGTCCAAGCGGCACAACAGCACCGTGATGTTGGCTGTCATTGAGGTCAAAGTGGAAACACCAGTCATGCCCCCCTCAGTCGGTGAGTAATAATTAACAAAGGTGTCCCACAGGGGTTTGTTGTGGGTCCCATCAGTTTCTCATCAGTGTCTTATCACTACTTTCTACTGATTTCTATTCTATGTACTCATCCCTTGTACATCCTCATGTCAACAGATTACCTGGTGCCTCTTCTATGTGGGATCTTCTGCTCGCTCTGCCTCTTCTGCATCATCGTATCTGTTTGGTGGACGCGCAAACGGAGAAAAGAGCGTGAGAGGAACACAGCCTCCGATGATAACGTGAACAACCAATGGCAGCCGCTTCGGCTCGTTGTTGGACGTCAGCAGCAGCAGCAGCAGCAGGCGCTGAAGGAAAACAACAGGGACGCCGAGCAGGAGCGCAAAAAGCTCATGGGCCCCTCCTATCAGACGTGTGACGAGGGGGAGGAGGAGGAGGAGGAGGAAGAGACGGAAGGCGAGCTTGAACTCGAGGAGGAGTGTGGTGGAGCAGAGGCGGGGAAGCAGCCAGTTTATAAGTACTCTAAGACTGCATCGCAGTCCAGTGGGGAAGTGATCTGTACCATGCACAGCTCCAGCTCATCCCTCAAAGCGCCCCACCGGACCCCAGGCTACAGCCCCAAAGACAACCGCTGGAAAAATGTCAGTGCCGTCTTCACTGGTCAAAAAGACCTCAAAGACCATTGTGTATTAGAAATGTAAACAAAGGACTCGTGATGTGGAAGTGAGAGAAGCAGCAAGGCAGCGGCTATTCTTATTTTCGGACTTCTTTTTGAAAGAAAAAAGGCTTTGTGTTTTATAAGTCTTTCTTTGCTTTGTTTTCATGTTTTTTTCACTGTTACCTGAAATTAGTTTTGCTTCAGGAGGCTGGAGCACAGTGAACATCCTAATTTGCTTCTGTTCATTTATTTTTCTTTGATTATGTACAGAAGGAGCTGAAATGTAACACTTTTTCACGAGGCTCTCTGCATTTTTTGTTTATGGAGTTATACCATTTATGAAACGATGAATCATCGGAAAGGAGAAAAAAAGAAACCTGTATAAAGACTTTTTTTTGTTTACAGATTATGATTTTGTTTAATTGTCAGCGGGCTCCTGTTCAGTGTCTGTGGTGGGGCAGATACACTTTAAAGGGACAGTAAAGCAACGTCTTTGAGGGAAACGGACTGTTGCAGCCACAGTAACAGAGAAACCCTCCTTTGCTCTGTCTCTTCCCGGCTTTGCCCGCCGATCCACCTGTGGCCGTCATGCGCCAGCCTTACCAAAACACTTGGCCTGGAGGGGAGAGGGGACAGAAACCCCAGTGCCTACTATGTGGCCTTCCATTTGTGTTCTCCTGTCTCTCAGTTGTCTTGGCTGAAAGCTCTGTTTGAGGATTTTTTTGCAGTATTTGAGTTGGTAGCAAGTGCCTTTCCAAGAGCCGCCGTGTTCAGGCTCCGAGTCGCGCTGCCCAGTTTGACCTCCTTGTTCTCAAATCTCAAAGGGATATAAGTGTACATCTAGAGAGTTCAATTTCACAGCAACGCCATTCGAGGTATTTGATCAAAACAGAAATGAATACTCTGTATATATGTGTAAATACTAAAGGAGTCGCTGTGTATATTTGAAATAAGTAACTTAAAGACAAGTCACACATTTTTATTATTATTATTATTGTTTATAATTATTATGATTAATATTATTTTTATTTTTTTTACAACGCCATTCCTTTTATTTATGCCAGTCGAAATAGGCACGTTTTATAACACTTCATATCCAGAGTCCCACAGTTAAGAACCTTTACAGTGAGGTACCACCTATGAAGGACTTTCTGAAGGGTTTAGAAATGGTAAGCAATGAGGACCCCTTTTTTTTTTTTTTTGACTGTCACATCAACAGTTGTTGCTACTTCTTTAGCGCTTTTAAGTTACAGCAAATCAGTGAGGCTTTTCAACACCAGACACTTACCATAACAATAAATGACCAAAAGATTACTACTTCCATTTCATGTTTAATAATAAAACCCGATTTTTCATGGATGTATTTGGTAATCATTACTAGATTTGGTCGTGATCTTAAACTTCCGTTTTTTTGATTGACCTTAGTCGACAGTTGGACAGAAGAAATTATGGTCTTTGTAATTGTTTTGCACTTAACTTTCTCTATTGAAGGAAACCTTTATTAGGAACAGGAAGATGTATAAATGATTATTCCGGTTCCTAATATTTCATAATTGCATTGCAAGAATTTTAACCCAGTCGTATTTGAACTGGTAGTCAAAAATGTATCAAAGGGCAAAACACTGTTGTCACTGCTTTTTATTGACAGAAAGTAGATTTTCTGCCCATTCAAAGCAGAGCAGGCGTCTACTTGGAAATTATTTGTTTGATTCTATTATTACTTTTACTTTAGTAATTTTTTTCCCTTTTCTAATACAAGATGTATCACTGATTTTGGTTGTTAAATCATGATTTGGTATTTAGAAAATTCAGAGAGTTCTAGGCAGGCAGTGTTGCAAAACTGCCAATATTTATAGCCTTAAAAAGTCCTCAAACTGTTTCTAAACCCGTCACAAACCCTTTTGTTTCAGGTGCCTTAATGTAATGCATTATTTGTGTATCAATGGTCATCTTTTTATGTTTTGTTTTCAATATTAAGGAAAGTAACTCTTTAAAACGTTGTGTGGTGTATAGTGGCGTGTTTTATTCGCCTGAGTAAAGTGCTCTCCTTGTGTCGCTTTGCTATCACGGAGATTTCTGGAATAAAACACTTGATGGACGGAGGTTAAAAAAATTAAGCGGTCCACCATGACTCTTTTGAGTGTCATGCATGTGGATGTCAGTAGTTCAATTGTTGAATCATGCATTAGCTTCATATTTGGTTACACGGCTTTAATGAAGGGAACAATATTTGCAGTTTTTTCTTTTCTACCTTGCAGGTGTGTTTTTTTTTTTTAAGTTACCAACTCAGTTCAAAATGACCCGTTTTTCATATGTCACTGTCTCAAAAAGGCATCGTATTTTCTGTAAATGGGACACAGCAAAATAAAGAATTAAAGATGCATCACTGCTGGTGTTAAAAGCTGAATATGCATATTGTATACATTTTATTCTACAAGCGACATACGTTACTTTTATACAAAGGTTTCCATTCTTTTAGTGGATGTTTCATTGTTCTAAATAATCATCCCAGTTATTTATTAAAGCAGTTTTGACACATTGATCACGCTTGTTATATTTGGTTTCCACTTACTTATGCTGGCACTTTTGACCAAAATCGGATCACTTTCATCAGCGGTAGCTTAGTCCAACATTACACATACATTGTGTATTATGATACAAATTGAAAACATACCGCCTTAAAGCTTGAGTAAATCATGTTTTAATACAAAAAAGGTATCAAATGAATGTAAAATTTGAGTTTGCTAGAAAAACACTGATAATTATAACCTCACTATCTGCAGCTCAAAATAATGTTTAAGTCTCTTGTACTGTTTCGATTCAGTCTAACCACTCTCATGAACCTAATTTCAAACTTCACCAGGTTGATGTTTTGGCAAAGGTTTAGAGAATACCACACACGGCTAACACAATCAGCAACTACTGTAGCATTGAGCGGTTAAGGAATCTTTAAGAAGTTGATAGAGATCAAAAACGGAATCAAAAGCAGAGTGATTGTTGGAAATATTATAAATTAGAAAAACTTGATTGAAAATGCTACATGAGATCATATTTCATATCTTACCTACTCTTTAGTGCAATCTAAACATGGACGACAAATGTTCAGAAAATGCAAAAAAAAAAACTTCACAATAGAGGAGAACATATTAGATGAGCATATTTAAAACGGGGGTAAATTCAACCAAATATTTCTCTATGGCTGCACTCCGCTCTGCATCAGCCAAACGGCTCGCTGCACCCGCACTGCGAGGGGGACCCAAGTTCCCATCAGCAAAAACACGACGGTTTGCTATCCTGGCTCCAAAATGGTGGAATGAGCTCCCCATTGACATCAGGACAGCAGAAAGCTTACACATCTTCCGGCGCAGACTGAAAACTCATCTCTTTCGACTCCACTTCGAGCGATAACATTACTAACAAAGCACTTATATACTAACAAAGGACTGGCTTATCTAAAGCTAGTTGAGTAGCACTTGAAATGTTCTGGCTCTATGAAACCTGATGTACTTATATGATTCTGTTTTCTTCAAGTTTGTATCTTCTTGGTCGAATGCACTTATTGTAAGTCGCTTTGGATAAAAGCGTCAGCTAAATGCAATGTAATGTATTGTAATGTAATGCTGCTGTGGCAAAAGTACATTTAGCTCTGCTTAGCTTATTAATCTACATTTCTTATGTGTTTGTCATCTCTCAAAAAAGTAGTATATATTTTCACATCAAGATCTAACTCGACCTCTAACTGTTGCAACTCACACAAGTATATCTTCAGAAAGTCTGCAGTCATTGCCCTCGTCTGTGTGGGCTGAGGACGGATCGATCGATGTGATAACCTCACCCGCCTCCCGCCATCCCACCATCCCTCTCCTCTCTCCCACCACACCAATAGAACCTCATCTCCTGTTCTGGGCCGATCCGGCCTCCACCAATGGGAGGCTGGCGTGATCATCCTGGCCACATAAGGATGTGAATGTTTCATGAGTAATGTTATGGTGCCGGGCGGAGTGGTGGGACACTTTTCCTTCCGGCTCCCATGGGTGCTACTGGCTGGCGCTAATAGGACCATTCCTTTGCCCGGATCTACTTACACAGCTTTGAGGAAGTGGTGTAGTCGCTGGGGGAGAGCGGAAGGGAGATGATGAATGTTTACGGATATATTAATATGTGGGTGACTGTAATAATACTTTGAAATAGGCCTGATACTGCAGTCCAAGCATCATTTGATCTTAGAAAGAAACATTGACTACTTGGATGTTAGAATAGTGTGTTTTGTTTCCAAATGTCTTTATTGTGATGTATTTTCTATTATATAGGTACCAACTTTCTCTGAGGATTGAGGCCTAGTCCCTGACTATAAGCAGTTATAATGTTGAATGTTCAGATTTGAATAGTCTTTTCTCAACTTATGATTACACCGCCAAACCTTAAGGGTATAGTAACCCAACTAAAAGGTGTTGTGCTTCTCCTTATTCAAATGAATTTGTGCTGATATATTATACTTCCAGTATTGTATTTATATGTGTATCATGCACTATTAAGAGTTTCCTGTTTCCTTGTGGAAAGTCCAAAAACTTTAAGTTGGGAGAATCGGAAACTAAATTGTTTGTCAAGTCAAGTAAGTTTTATTTATCTGGCCCTAAATTTGCCTAAATGGACTTTCCAATCTGTACAGCACTAAGTTAACCCATCACGAAACTAATCTCAAGTGAATAATTGTTGTACTCGATCCTTAATTTGTCTAATCATTATCAAACCTTTGTTATTGCCATAGCTTGGTACAAGTTAGATGCCAAGTGTCTTCATGCAGCATCAGTACCCTCCTCCACCACCCCTCTGATCCCAGACTGCATCAGTAAACTGACACCAGAATCCAAAAGTGGCTCCTTACGACAGCCAAGGACATCTCAGCACTCTGCATTTGTAAACACGTAGTACTACTGCACCAAGCTCAAAATGGCTGAAAGTATCCACCAAAAAAAAAACAGCCAAAATGTAGACGGGGCGATTGCTTCATTTATCTTACAGTATAAGCAGAGAGGGTTGCAGTTTGTGCAAGTGCACTGACTGAGAGATTTTCTGTGTGCTCTCTGTTGCTGCTCAGTACATCTGTTGATGTGGGTCTGACAGTGGAAGCAGCTGGGTGACAGGATTTTAGGCTAAGCCCTCTGTCCCTTTAAACACACATACATGCACACACACACATGCACACAAATACACAGTCACAAACCAAGCATGGCCCTTTTGGGACATCGTGCTGGTGGGCAGCGGGCTGCAGCTGGCACAGTGGGATGACAGAGGGAAACAAGCCACAGTGTACTGTGTGTGTGTGTGTGTGTGTGTGTGTGTGTGTGTGTGTGTGTGTGTGTGTGTGTGTGTGTGTGTGTGTGTGTGTGTGTGTGTGTGTGTGTGTGTGTGTGTGTGTGTGTGTGTGTGTGTGTGTGTGTGTGTGTGTGTGTGTGTGTGTGTGTGTGTGTGTGTGTGTGTGTGTGTGTGTGTGTGTGTGTGTGTGTGTGTGTGTGTGTGTGTGTGTGTGTGTGTGTGTGTGTGTGTGTGTGTGCTGGCACTGCAAGTCTTCCTTGCCGCTGCAGTAACCCTCACATGTACCCTCTGCACCAGGAGATGGGGGGAGCAACACTTAGAGGGCAGGGAGAGTGCATCTGGGAGCCTGGCAATGTCGTTGCAGGTTTTCAGGGACTGTGTGTGTAAATAAACAAATGTGTTGAGAGGTAACTTAAATCAGGAAAATAAGCCCCCTATTTCAGTTTTAGTGAAAGTATACTGAAAAATTTATTTGACGTTAAAAATGTTAAAAATATTATTAATTGACCAGCCTTTTTTGTCTCCCTGCTGTAACAGCAGCATATCTGCTATGGAAGTAATTAAAACCTCACATGCTTTTGTGCAGGGCAGAATGAGAAGTCAAAGGTCAGGGGAGGCTAGACAAACTTTGAATCTACATCTACTTTCCTACGTCAGCTAGAGTGATGGCATATCTTCAGACATACACACTCTTGCACACATGCACACATACTCATGCAGTGGCATGATGCCAGCAAATGTTTACTTATTGGCTGATGAGAATGTGGCCTTAAGCAGCCATTAGAGGACACAAAACATGAACTTATATATCCTGAATATGTATATGATACACACACGTAGTCTATGTTTACATGGACTGCCAGATGGAAAATCGGTGGGTTCGACCCTGTCCTTTTCTGAGATTTCATCATGTAGTTTTCCTTCCCATGTTTCCCTCTGCATATTCCATGCATGTCTGTTTGTACATGCTCAAGTGACAGTGTGCAGTGCAACCCAACACCCCGTACAGTGATATGCAAGGTCAATTTGCACTTCTAGCATGAGTGACACCAGGGAGTGTAAAACACCCTCAAGGAGCCACTCTTAAGCTGGTAACAATATAGTACATCACAATTTAAAGCTACTTAATGTGCAGCGTTTAAAAAGCTACACTTACGTTCTCTGGGTTTTCAGACACATTTTGATGCCAATATCTGAAAAAGATTAAATAAAAGCAATGCATATAAATAAATACAGATTTGTATGCAAGAATATCTAATAATGTCAAATATAACAATATTGTATTTGAACTGCTCTAGCCTACATGTATTTGACAACATAGTTACTTTGCAGATTTAGATAAATAATTCAGAATATAAATCAACAACAAATTGTAATGCATTGTTGTTATTCATGTTATATATTAAGAAACTAACAAGTAGGCTATATACAGTAAATACAAGGAGCTCCACCAGCTGCACAATTTAAAGTGATTTAAGCCTTCACATGACTGCATTAAAAATGATAATGGAGTGATATAATACTATACTGAAATTGGCCATTCAGCACAGGGAGTTTAAGTATTTCAGTAAAATGTTGAAAGCAGGACTTTCACTTACTACCTGAGGCCTTCTTCCACCTCTGCATGTTACAAACTCCTGTGGCTGTAACATAAATCAAGTGCGCCCTTTGGAAGTCCAATTAAGCTGCTCTCTTTTCAGGTGTGCAAAGCCCTGCTGCTTGTCTGCAAACGTAGCTTTAATTTTAGATGATAGAATCGACTCTAATGTTTATATAACGTTAGCATGATAGTTAAATTAGCCTGCTAGCAGTGTGTAGCCTACATGCTGCTATGTGGAGGAGATAATCATGCTAATACTACACTCACTATTAGCCAGTGTAATGTACTTATTATTTCCCCCGTTCTGCTGTCAAGACTTTCCTTAAAGGATTAATAATGTCGAAGATAACAGCTTCATCCCAACAACTGTAAGTACATGCTGCTTGTGCTAACATGTAAGTCAATGTTTTGGCTTTGCTGAATCTTGTATATGGGCTTGGTAATATCTTATGCAAGCCAACACTGCTCAGTGTTAAGTTGTTATCTGTTTG